ATGAGACGCCTCATAAGGGCACACTCTTACCCGTGAAGGGAGGCATGGAGGCGAGCACGTCGGATCGGCCATAGAGGAAGCCGATGCCCGTGGGCCCACACATCTTGTGGGAAGAGGCATGGTAACGGCATGCCACACACGCTTACCCATGAAGGGAGGCATGGAGGCGAGCACGTCGGCGCGGCTGTAGAGAAAGCCAATGCCCGTGGGCCCAGCCATCTTGTGCGAGGAGACCGCTGCGAAGTCCACCCCCAGCTGCTGCACGCGCTTACCCATGAGGACACACACTTACCCATGAAGGGCGGCATGGAGGCGAGCACATCGGATCGGCCATAGAGGAAGCCAATGCCCGTGGGCCCAGCCATCTTGTGCGAGGAGACCGCTGCGAAGTCCACCCCCAGCTGCTGCACGTCCACGGGCATGTGCGGCACCGACTGGCACGCGTCTAGCAGCACCTTGGCGCCCACTGCATGCGCCCTTTCTCTGATCCGCTCCACTGGGGACTCGGAGCCTGAAGGATGGGGGTAAGAAAAGGGAGGGTGGGTGGGTAAGAGGCAACAAAGAAGTCACACTCTCCAGCTGCTGCACGTCCACGGGCATGTGTGGCACAGACTGGCACGCGTCTAGCAGCACCTTGGCGCCCACTGCATGCGCCCTTTCTCTGATCCGCTCCACTGGGGACTCGGAGCCTGAAGGATGGGGTTAAGAAAAGGGAGGGTGGGTGGGTAAGAGGCAACAAAGAAGTCACACTCTCCAGCTGCTGCACGTCCACGGGCATGTGTGGCACGGACTGGCACGCGTCTAGCAGCACCTTGGCGCCCACTGCATGCGCCCTTTCTCTGATTCGCTCCACTGGGGACTCCGAGCCTGAAGGATGGGGGTAAGAAAAGGGAGGGTGGGTGGGTAAGAGGCAACAAAGAAGTCACACTCTCCAGCTGCTGCACGTCCACGGGCATGTGTGGCACGGACTGGCACGCGTCTAGCAGCACCTTGGCGCCCACTGCATGCGCCCTTTCTCTGATCCGCTCCACTGGGGACTCGGAGCCTGAAGGATGGGGGTAAGAAAAGGGAGGGTGGGTGGGTAAGAGGCAACAAAGAAGTCACACTCTCCAGCTGCTGCACGTCCACGGGCATGTGTGGCACGGACTGGCACGCGTCTAGCAGCACCTTGGCGCCCACTGCATGCGCCCTTTCTCTGATCCGCTCCACTGGGGACTCGGAGCCTGAAGGATGGGGGTAAGAAAAGGGAGGGTGGGTGGGTAAGAGGCAACAAAGAAGTCACACTCTCCAGCTGCTGCACGTCCACGGGCATGTGTGGCACGGACTGGCACGCGTCTAGCAGCACCCAAATGTGAAAGGTGAGCCCCCAACTGCTAACTCAGTGAGTGACTCACTCAGCATGTTTGGTATGACACATGATATGCCACATGGTATGCCACATCGTGCGACACAGGGTGCGCTTGGCTTGGCACCCATTGAAACCACGACTCACCCAGTACGTTGGACACATGGTGCACGGCCCCTCCTTCTCAAATGACTTTTGAGTCGACTCAAAACTCACCCAGCACGTTGGAAACATGGTGCACGGCCACGAGCTTGGTGCGCGCGCCAATCATCTCCAGCAGCCGCTCATAGTCCACCTCCGCGCCCGCCGCATGCCCCTCCCTCTCCGCCTCCTCCGGCACTTTCAGGGGCGCAAACTTCAAAACCGCCCCGGTTTTCTGGGCTACAATCTGCCAGGGGACGATGTTGCTGTGGTGCTCCGCGACTGTGAGGAGCACTTCGTCGCCCGGGGAGAGGTTGGAGAGCCCCCACGAGTACGCCACGAGGTTGATTGCCTCGCTGGCGTTGCGCGTGAACACGATCTCCGACGGGCCCTGCGCTGTGTTGATGAACCGCGCTACTTTCTCGCGTGCCTTCTCGTACTCCTCTGTGGCCAGCATGCTGCGGGGAGGGGTGGGTGTGGGAGGAGGGGGAGAAGTGAGTGCAAAGTACAAGTAGAGGCGATCCTGGAAGGGCCCTGGCCCAACCTTCTCCCGTTGCTTCCCATACTCCTTTTGCTAACATGCTGTGAAAAGAAAAGGGTGGGTATGGAGGGCGAGGGGAGTGGGGATCGCAAAAGGGCCCTGGGACGGCAGGGTTGACGAAGCGAGCGAGCTGCTTCCTCCCACGCCTTCACACACTCCTCTGTGGCATGCATGCTCGGACAGGGGGAGAAGAAGGGAGGAGACGAGAACGTGAGGTGCTGAAGAAGGAGGAGAAGGGGTAAGAAACGAAGGTGAGTGAAGTGGGGAAAACGAGAATGTTTGGTTTTACAAACAGAGCTCGTTGTCTCCCCGGCCCACGGAGAGTGGGGGAACAAAAACATTAAGAGGGTGCTGATCGTTGATGCATGGGTGTCACGGCTCACCTCAGGTAGTGCACTGCACGTTGCAATACACATTATCATCGTATCATTGGTAGGTAGTGGTAGCCAGCACATCCGTGACGTTAATCGCTTGCATGCTTACATGGGTTACAGGCCACGCACTCAATGTCAAATACACCATGTACGCTCACCCGGGACAGTGTACACTTCAAGGCTCCTCGGCTTTGTGTCGTTTGCTCCATTCACCATGGTGCTGTTGATTGCACGCATGCATATACGCGTTACAAGCTCACCTGAGATAGTGCACACCGCGGTGCACATTGGCATTGTAGCGCCGGTAGTAGTCATCCATGGCGTTGATCACTTGCAGTGGCTTCTGCGAAGTTGCTGCACTGTCTAGATACACCAATGGCTGGCCGCCTGGCACCTCCTGATGCATTGAAAGAAGACAAGTGAGTGGAATAACGACGACATTGTACAATTCAGTTATATAAAGCCTCGGCAACCTCTTATCAACCGCATGGATGCACGCTCCACTGATTCACATAGAATACTGATTCTGAAGTAAAACTATGTGTTCTCGTGGACTGTAAACAGACACGGGCAAGTGTTGTCCAGTCGTCTCACAATTCAGGATGTAAGACGTTCAAAATTACCTGATGCAAAATCGGGAAGTCTTCGCGAATCGCCTTCCCTAGCCCCGTCGCATCCGCCGTCGACGCACTCGCATCCGTTGTTTCACGCGCTGACACCGACGCCTCGACGGCCCTTCGCTCAACGGCTCTTTGCAACCCGTTAGGGCTGCAACCGCTGCCGCCGCTAACGGCGAGGCGCCTCAAGCCATTGAATGAAATTAGGTTGGGTGAGAAGGAGGTTCGGAATGCCTTAGCTGCTGAGGCTACTGGTCTTGCTGGTGTCATTGCTGACGTGGCATGTTGAAGAGGTAGACGAGCAGAAGGAGAACTGATGAGAGCCATGCTAGGAAGACGAGCGATGGTGGATAAGTAGCGCGTGAGACGATACACAGGAACGGTATTGGAAAAAGGAGAATTGGCAGTCGATACGCTTATTCTGGGGCCAGGACAATCCTCGTAGCCTGCAAAGCAGAGTGGCGTGGATCGGACGCAAACAAGGTGAAGTGGCAGAAGCGAGATAGAAATCAGCCCAGTTCCGCGTTTCAGAAAGTGGCAAATGCGAGTGTGTGTGTGAATGAATTTGCGTGTGTATGTATACGCTTTGCCGGAGGAGGTAGAAAGAGGCGAATGGAAGAGCTGGAGCAGGCGAATCAGGTCAGCGCATGGCTGTGAGTGAGTGGCCGCCTCGATTCCTCCTCCACCTGACATGCACTCACCAACGCTGACGTGGCAGAGGAAGGGCCTTCGACCAAGTTCAAGGAACCATGCTTTTGATCGGAAGTGGATAGTCTGGTAAAGTAAACTTCCTTACGGTATTGTGAGATTTTCGAATAGAAAATTTAAAAGGTATGCGCTTATACCAGTGGATATCATAGAGGCCACATACCAGGGCCCAAAATATCAGGGTAAAATACCCTTTTTGCCATTTCTGAAGGCCGCTTTTTTCAGTTACCCTGATGAAGGCAGGCTAACCGTATAGTTACCCTTTCTTCAAATTAGTGGTTTTTTTTTACCCTTTCAAAAACAGTATAGTAGTTTACTTTCCCTGATTACGAAGTGAAACATATGGGTTTCGCAGTAGCGATCCGAAGAAATCCGTGTATCCCCAGTAGACATCCCGCACGCATCAAGATTCGAACCTGTAACCTTGCCATTCGGAAGAAATCTAACAACTGATTATGTCATTTACTAACGTTTCATGTGATACAAGAAACAATTATGGAATTTTTCTTTAATTCAGTCAGGGTACTTTTTTTTTTAGCCTGTATCTGTCAGCGTATCAGAAATTTTACCCTAGGCCATCAGGGTGGGACAGGCTGAGACCGAGATTAGGCAGGGTGGCCTAAAACCAATTTTGGGCCCTGCCACATACGGCCTGCTCCTATACCTGGGGTCTCATGGTATGCCACATTGTTCTACAAGTACTGGTGGGTGCCTCAGTGCAGGCGTCAATTGATAATACCGGTACGTATTGTCAGGGAGCAAAAGAGGAGGGGACGCTTGCAAAGCACAATACATGAATGTGGTAAGATGGTTACTGTTGTAACACAGTCTGGTACTGGGTTATCAAGTGTGATAGAAACATAGCAGCCCGACGGTCTCAATATACTTAGCTTCAAGCACAAACTCAAGCTTAAAGCCCAAGACCTGAATTACTCAACGGAAGTCAACGCTAAAAACTAGGTTCGGGAGGCAGGCACGGAGAGGTTCGGTTGGGTTGCGAGAGATTTTCACTCGCGAAACCAATTTGCGACAAAAGTTTCTCGCTTCCCATGATGGTTGGTGCCCTTCCCACAACCAGAAAAGCGCGAGCTTATCAAACTGTGCACAGTTTGGGATAGCACGCAGAGTATTAGGCATAGACCATACCTGTAGACAGGGCAGGGCGTCGGCGTTCACTCAAAAGGGAGTAGATGCGCCATATGATTTGGGTGGCGCGGATTTGCAATGATGACGCGCAAAGCTAGTTTGCGCTGGGTGAAGATTATTGTGTCGAAATGCAGGTTATTGTGCAACTACTCCGTAGCGTAAACTCGTGGCGAAAATCGAATCGCAACCGTTCGCCCAAACGTGACCCTCCCCTCGCCATCGCTTTCCTTTCCCACGCTTCCGCTCTCTTTCGCCCGCGTCGTCGCCATCGCTTCCGCAGCTCGTCGCGTGCCCGTCGCCTTCGCTCCGCCCGTCGCCTTCACTTCTCCCCCGTCGCCTTCACTTCTCCCCCGTCGCCTTCACTCCCCCCCCTCTTCCGTTGCCTTCATTTCCCCCTCCCGTCGCCTTCACTTCCCCCTCCCGTCGCCTTTACTTCCCCCTCCCGTCGCCTTCAATTCCCCCTCCCGTCGCCTTCGTTTCCCCCTCCCGTCGCCTTCATTTCCCCCTCCCGTCGCCTTCATTTCCCCCTCCCGTCGCCTTCACTTCCCCCTCCCGTCGCCTACTGTCGGAGAATCATCCTCTGTTGCATCCCGTGGCTTGCCTTCTCCTTCCTGGACTCACCCTCGCTCCCTTCTTCTTCTGAGCTCTGTTCCTGTGATACCTTACCTGCTCTGCCTCAGCCACTACTTCGCGTCACTACCCACGCACCAAACTCACCTTCTACAGTGCTTCGAATAATCCTACTACACCTACACTAGCGAGTAACTGAATATATTGCTAACAACAATCTATTCGGTGACACTACACTTCCCCCTCCCGTCGCCTTCACTTCCCCCTCCCGTCACACTCGCTTCCCCACCCGTCACCTTCACTTCCCCTCCCATTGCCTTTCACTCTCTCCTGCTCAATCTCTTTCCCCCTGCTCACTCTCTTCCCCCCTGCTCACTCTCTTTCCCCCTGCTCACTCTCTTCCCCCCTGCTCACTCTCTTCCCCCCTACTCACTCGCTTCCCCCCTCCTCAATCTCTTCCCCCCTGCTCACTCTCTTCCCACTCTCTTCCCCCCTGCTCACTCTCTTCCCCCCTGCTCACTCTCTTCCCCCCTGCTCACTCTCTTCCCCCGTGCTCACTCGCTTCCCCCCTCCTCAATCTCTTTCCCCCTGCTCACTCGCTTCCCCCCTCCTCATTCTCTTTCCCTCTGCTCACTCCCCTTGTTCTAACCCCACTTTCCCCATTTCTCACCCATTTTCCCCCTTCACGCTCTCTTACCCCCTCTGCTCGCCCCTGTTTTCCCAACTCACGCCTATACTCACTCTCTCCCCCCCTGCTCACTCTCTTCCCCCCCTGCTCACTCTCTTTCCCCTTGCTCACTCTCTTTCCCCCCTTCTCACTCTCTTTCCCCCTTCACGCTCTCTTTCCCTCCCTTCCGCCCGTTGCCCCCCTTCGTCTCGCGCTCGTCCCCTCGCAATCCCCGTCTCTCTCTCCCCCCGTCGCCCTCGTTTTCCCCGTCGCCCTCCCTTCCACTCCTCGTTGCCCTCGCCATCCCTCCCTTCTCCCTTCCCATCTCGCACACTTGTCACGCCCCCTTTCCAACCCGCACATACACCCTTCCCTTCTTCCCTGTTTCCTCGTATCCCCTGCGCTGCTCCCCCCCATCCTCCGACTTGCTCCCCCCATCCCCTTCCCTGCTTCCCCCCAACCCCTTCCCTGCTCCCCCCCATCCCCTTCCCTGCTTTCCCCCTTCCACTTCCCTGCTTCCCCCCGTCCCCTTCCCTCCTTCCCCCGTCCCCCTCCCAGCATCCCCCCATCCGCTTCCCTGCTCACCCCCATCCCCTTCCCTGCTCCCCCCCATCCGCTTCCCTGCTTCCCCCTATCTCCTTCCCTGCTTCCCCCTATCGCCTTCCCTGCTCACCCCTGCTCCCTCTGTTTGCTCCCTCCCCTTCTTCTCTGCTCACTCTCTTCCCCCTTGCTCACTCTCTTTACTTCTGCTCACTCTGTTCCCCCCTGCTTCCTCTCTTCCCCTCTGTTCAATCTGTCCCCCGCTGCTTCTTCTCTTCCCCTCTGCTCATTCCGTTTACTGTCTTTCCCCCTTCACTCACCCCCATACCCCCCAATGCAGTTACAGGTGCTCAACACCAGATGTGGCTTTACCACGGCCTGGTTTATTGCTTGCAGTGTAGCAGACAAAACCGGAAAACAACATTACACATACACCCCCTAGCTTTGTTCCCTTCTCGAGTCTGGTGATTCCCCTTACTTTACAGATACGGTAATATATTAATTGTTGAACTCCTTGGTATTGGTCATGTGTATGATTGCTCTGAGGCTCATAATCCTGTATTATAAATAATGAATCCAATATATGGCATGGCTATACGTGTGTTACTATCAGACAGCTAGCACATGCATAACCAGATGCAGAGCAGACCTGTCCAAACACAAATCAAGAAGTCAGATGTGACGTGGCTGAAGTATAAGGGAATGACAACTGACAAATGAGGGAGGAACGGAGGAAGGGAGGAAGTGAGGAATGCAGGAATGAAGGAAGGGAGGAAGTGATGATGGGAGGAAGGGAGGTAGGGAGGACGCTTGGGGGAGAAGCAGAAGGGAGGGGAGGAAGAGAGGCTGGGGAGGAGGGTGGGGAGGAGGGTGGGGAGGAGGGTGGGGAGGAGGGTGGGGAGGAGGGTGAGGAGGAGGGTGGGGAGGAGGGTGGGGAGGAGGGTGGGGAGGAGGGTGGGGAGGAGGGTGGGGAGGAGGGTGGGGAGGAGGCTGGGGAGGAGGCTGGGGAGGAGGCTGGGGTGGGGCGGAATGGGGTGGGCCAGAAAGGGGTGGGGCGGAATGGAGTGGGGCAGAAAGGGGTGGGGCGGAATGGGGTGAGGCGGATTGGGGAGATGAGGGATGGGGAGATGAGGGATGAGGAGATGAGGGATGGGGAGGTGTGGGATGGGGAGGAGAGGGCTGGGGAGGAGAGGGATGGGGAGGTGAGGGATGAGGAGGTGAGGGATGGGGAGATGAGGGAAGGGGAGATGAGGAATGGGGAGATGAGGGAAGGGGTAATGAATGAACGTGTATGCGACGGAAGGGTGCTGCTGACCACGCACCCTCCCACACCCCACGCGATGGGAAGGGATGAGAGGGTGGCCGGCATGGGTAGAGAAGCGATGGTGAATAGGGGGAACGTGATGGGCAGGGGAGTGATGACGACGTGGAGAGAGGAGGAGAGAAGGGAGGTCGGCGGGAAGGCTAAGCGAGGACGATGGGAGGGCAAGCGTAGGCGACAGTGGCGGTGGGCGACGGTGGCGGTGGGCGACGGTGACGGTGGGCGACGGTGGGGAGAAGCGTGGGCGACGGTGGGGGGAAGCGTGGGCGACAGTGGGGGGAAGCGTGGGCGACGGTGGGGGGAAGCGTGGGCGACGGTGGGGGGAAGCGTGGGTGACGGTGAGGGGAAGCGTGGACGACGGTGGGGGGAAGCGGGGGCGACGGTGGGGGGAAGCGTGGGCGACGGTGGAGGGAAGCGTGGGCGACGGTGGGGGGAAGCGTGGGTGACGGTGGGGGGAAGCGTGGGCGACGGTGGGGGGAAGCGTGGGCGACGGTGGGGAAAGCGTGGGTGACGGTGCTCCGAAGCGTGGGCGACGGTGGGAGGAATCGTGGGCGATGAGAGGGGAAACGTGAGGGAAGGTGGGGAAAGGCGTGAGCGACGGTGTGGGGGAAGGCCGGAGGAAGCGTGAGCGGCGATAAGGGGAAGCGTGAGCGACGGTGGGGGAAAGCTTGGGCGACGGTGGGAAGAGTGGGCGTGTGCGTGGGGAGGTGTGTGAGAGACGGTGGGGAGAAGCGTGGGGGACGCGGAAGGCGATAGGTCCAAATGCGATGTTTGGGAAAGAGCTAGGAATAAAAGTGAAAATGCTCATGGCCTATGCTGTAGTGGCGTTTTATTATATCTCTTCGCATACTCTAATCGCTTCGCGTACTATGGAAATCACACGACTTGAATTACCGAAGAAGGCAAACTGTGCACATTTTGAGCCCTTGTTCCTTCAGGAGGGTGTGGTTGGGACTCTCGCCAACCAAACCTGTTCTGCTCTACGACAGTGCCCTAGATATCAGACTTTGGAGTCTGAATCAGAGTCCGTTCAGACTTTTTTTTTGTACCTAGTCTGAACTCAAAGAATTTATTTATGTACCTTGTCTGATTTTCCAGAGTTTTTTCTTATGAGTTGTCTGAAATTTCAGCCTAATTTTACTAGGGTAGGCTGAGCCCCAGACTTGTATCGGGGGTACACTCTGCGCGCTTATCGGAGCAAAGTTTCCTAGAAGTTTCCTTCCGATATGCCCACTTCCGAGATGGCAGTGGAGTGCCAGGACGTGAGCAACGCTCACTTCGACAGTTGGGACATCCAAATACACTCGTTCGTCGAGAATATCTTCCAGTTACGCTGAGGAAATGGTTGCGTGATTACGAGATTTCTGAAGACAAAATCTCGTCACATGTAAGTTATCGCTAATGTATTGTAAAGAATAGGCGACTTTGATGCTGATTCGCTGTAAAAACATCTGCAGCACGCACTGGTGTGAATTGCGAAGTTCCTGATTCGTACTGAAAGTTTCGTGTGGCACTGTCTGATCCTCACATGCCACGCCAAGCAACAGTTTCTGCCTGCTGCCAGCTCAGCTGCGTGGCACTTGGCCCACCTGATACAGATCGGGTGAACGATCGAATCGCTTGAAAAGCAAATCCAAAACTGACAAAATCGGCACACATGCGAGAAAATGGGTACAGAACGGTAATCACACACACGACAAAACGAAATGAGATCAGCAGAGCAGAAACAACCATGCGCTGCACGTGACAAAAACACTGGAACGCCGCCGACATGAGCAGAGGCGATGCACGAGCACGAGCACGTTGCCTGATGCGTTGGTATGGTAGGCTGTAATCAGCCTCAATGCTATTATAACTGCTTTTACGAAACTGCATGAACATCTTAAAATTTGAAGTAACTCTGACAGTTCAGACAAAAAAAATTGTGCTTGTCTGAATTTTCTGACTAAAATTTTGAGGCACCTCTGACAGACAGAGTTCCAGGAGGGGTGTACTCTGAGGCCTCAGACTACCTCAAAACGAATCTAGGGGCCTGCTCTACGACTCTGTGTTTCTTGGCGCAATGTTTTCTGGTAACCAGCCTGGCTCGGGAGGTCAACTGTGGGTTCGGTAGGCAAACTGTGCACAGTTTGCCTTCCTTTTTTTGTAATTCAGGTCTTGGGCTTTAAGCAAAAGCTGAACCTGAAGCTGAAGCACAAGCACAAACTCAAGCTCCAGCTCAATCTTAAAATCAAGCTCAAGCTCAAGCTCAATCATTATTCACAAACCATGTTCAAAAGCATATGCCAGTTAGTACCAACCCATGTCAGAGAATGCATTCGTCCCATCTCAGCCACTCCTGAGCGCTACTCTAGAGCAAGGAAAACCTCACGAAGGCATGGAAACGTGTCACTGATCTGTGGGATCTGGGCCAACTCTGGAGTATACGCGAGCGACGGGTACAGCCACTCTGAGATGGCGGCTGTGAAGTCTGCGGGAGTTGGTGAGAGGAGCGCCTCCCAGTCAACCTGCACTCACAGGACGGGAGGGGCACGTGAAGGGACAGCAGGTTAGCAAGCGCTGGACTGGCACCCCACTTGTGCCTCTCTTGCTTTCACATACGCCAGTGTTGTCTCTCAACCCTTATGCCTCTCTTGCCCACTTGCACACTGATTCTCCCCCCCATTCGCATCCTCTTTGTGTCTCTTCGATCGTCAATCACCCCCACAACAGCACAATCAACTCGCCCACCACCAACATCCCTGGCTATCCACATGCCCTCTGCTCACCTGCACACCCCATGGCAACCCACATGCCCTCTGCTCACCTGCACACCCCATAGCAACCCACATGCCCTCTGCTCACCTGCACACCCCATGGCAACCCACATGCCCTCTGCTCACCTGCACACCCCATGGCAACCCACATGCCCTCTGCTCACCTGCACACCCCATGGCAACCCACATGCCCTCTGCTCACCTGCACACCCCATGGCAACCCACATGCCCTCTGCTCACCTGCACACCCCATGGCAATCCACATGCCCTTTGCTCACCTGCACGCCCGGAGGGATGGCGGTGGTGACTTGCAGGTCCATGGACAGTAGCATAGCGAGCGTTACCACGTAACCCGTGCCTGATGTACCTCGCGACAAGGGCTGGAAGTTGTACCTGGCGTGGTGAAGTGTGGTGTGGTGTGGTGTGGTATGGTTTCAGTGAAATTAAGATTTGGGAGGTTTGGGTGAGTGCAGAAGCACAGGTTGAACATACACACAGTAATGTAAACAGCCCTGAAAACAAAACGGTGTATGTGTTTCTGTGATGTGATGTGCAGATGCGCCTGTGCATATAGTGGTCTGAAGTTGGTCGTGAATAGGGGACAGGGGAGAAGGAGCAGGGACCCAGTAGTCAGCCCCAGCAGTAATAGGCAACAGTAACTTCATGCTTCACATGAGCATAGCAGCAGTGGGCCATGCGATGATGCTCTACCATACCCTCCAGCAGCAGCACATACCAGTAGTAGGCAGTATTGGAATGCTGCACTTGAACATACCAGTAGTCACCCCAGCAGTAATAGGCAACACTAACTCCATGCTTCACATGAGCATACCAGCAGTAGGCCATGCGACGATGCTCTACCATACCCTCCAGTAGCAGCACATACCAGTAGCAGCACATACCAGTAGCAGCACATACCAGTAGCAGCACATACCAGTAGCAGCACATACCAGTAATAGGCCATTCTGAGTACGCTGTCCTGAACTGCCTTGCGGTAGGCCGGGAAGTCAGAGTCGCGGAGAGACGTGTTCACCACTGCCAGGCGGATGGCCTGATGGGAGAGATAGGCGAAGAGTAGATGGTATGTGAGAGAGCTTTCAAAAGTCCCACCAATTGCGGAGATGCATTTGCCACTGCGATGCAGATGGCCTGATGGGAGAGGGCCGGTTGGACACGGGGCGTGAGGGGAGCAGAGCGTCAGAGCGGGCGTGAGGGAAGCAGGGCAGTAGAGAGGGATGGGAGCACAGCGTGAGGGATGTAAGAGCAGTGAAGTGAGGTGGGAGAAGGAGATGGGATCGGGGAGAATGAGGAGATTCAGACAAGCACGAATGAGCGCGCATGCGGTGATGAGTCTGTATGAGCACTTGCTCGCACTCACCTGCCATGCAGCGTCCATCTCCCTCTCATACTCCCTCCACCGCTCCGGCTTGAGCATGAGCTCGATCGCTAGCTCGGGCTCGGGTGGGCTGGCGAGGAAGAAGGACGGAGTCTGTGTGTGTGTGAGCACTTGCTCTCACTCACCTGCCGATTTTTGAGGCGCCTCAAAAATGCTGTGGTGAGTATATATGTGTGAGCACTTGCTCTCACGGTCTCACCTGCCACACCGCATCCATCTCACTCTCATACTCCCTCCACCGCTCCGGCTTGAGCATGAGCTCGATTGCTAGCTCGGGCTCGGGCGAGCTGCAGGGGACAGCGCGAGAAGAGGAGGAAGGGGGTTGGAGGGAGGGGAGGGGGGAGAGGAAATAGCGATGGGGCTTGAGCATGAGCTCGATTGCTAACTCAGGCTCGGGCGAGCTGCACGGGACAGGCGAGGAGGAAGGAGGTTGGCGGGAGTGGGAGGGGGAGTGGGGGAGACGAGGTTGGATTGGAGGATGGGGCTTTAGCATGAGCTTGATTGCTAGCTCGGGGTCGGTGACTTTTGGGTCGACCCAAAAGTCAGCTGCAGGGGACAGGCGAGGAGGAAGGAGGTTGGAGGGAGGGGTAGACGAGAGATGAGATAAGGAAAGGGGCTTGAGCATGAGGTCTATTGCTAGCTCGGGCTCGGGCAAGCTGGCAAGGGGGAAAAAAGGAGGCACGGACAGGGAAAGGAAGGAGGCACGGACAGGGAAAGGAAGGAGGCACGGACAGGGAAAGGAAGGAGGCACGGACAGGGAAAGGAAGGAGGGGGCGGGGTAGGAGGGGTAGGAGTGTGGAGGGGTAGGAGTGTGGAGGGGTAGGAGTGTGGAGGGGTAGGAGTGTGGAGGGGTAGGAGTGTGGAGGGGTAGGAGTGTGGAGGGGTAGGAGTGTGGAGGGGTAGGAGTGTGGAGGGGTAGGAGTGTGGAGGGGTAGGAGTGTGGAGGGGTAGGAGTGTGGAGGGGTAGGAGTGTGGAGGGGTAGGAGTGTGGAGGGGTAGGAGTGTGGAGGGGTAGGAGTGTGGAGGGGTAGGAGTGTGGAGGGGTAGGAGTGTGGAGGGGTAGGAGTGTGGAGGGGTAGGAGTGTGGAGGGGTAGGAGTGTGGAGGGGTAGGAGTGTGGAGGGGTAGGAGTGTGGAGGGGTAGGAGTGTGGAGGGGTAGGAGTGTGGAGGGGTAGGAGTGTGGAGGGGTAGGAGTGTGGAGGGGTAGGAGTGTGGAGGGGTAGGAGTGTGGAGGGGTAGGAGTGTGGAGGGGTAGGAGTGTGGAGGGGTAGGAGTGTGGAGGGGTAGGAGTGTGGAGGGGTAGGAGTGTGGAGGGGTAGGAGTGTGGAGGGGTAGGAGTGTGGAGGGGTAGGAGTGTGGAGGGGTAGGAGTGTGGAGGGGTAGGAGTGTGGAGGGGTAGGAGTGTGGAGGGGTAGGAGTGTGGAGGGGTAGGAGTGTGGAGGGGTAGGAGTGTGGAGGGGTAGGAGTGTGGAGGGGTAGGAGTGTGGAGGGGTAGGAGTGTGGAGGGGTAGGAGTGTGGAGGGGTAGGAGTGTGGAGGGGTAGGAGTGTGGAGGGGTAGGAGTGTGGAGGGGTAGGAGTGTGGAGGGGTAGGAGTGTGGAGGGGTAGGAGTGTGGAGGGGTAGGAGTGTGGAGGGGTAGGAGTGTGGAGGGGTAGGAGTGTGGAGGGGTAGGAGTGTGGAGGGGTAGGAGTGTGGAGGGGTAGGAGTGTGGAGGGGTAGGAGTGTGGAGGGGTAGGAGTGTGGAGGGGTAGGAGTGTGGAGGGGTAGGAGTGTGGAGGGGTAGGAGTGTGGAGGGGTAGGAGTGTGGAGGGGTAGGAGTGTGGAGGGGTAGGAGTGTGGAGGGGTAGGAGTGTGGAGGGGTAGGAGTGTGGAGGGGTAGGAGTGTGGAGGGGTAGGAGTGTGGAGGGGTAGGAGTGTGGAGGGGTAGGAGTGTGGAGGGGTAGGAGTGTGGAGGGGTAGGAGTGTGGAGGGGTAGGAGTGTGGAGGGGTAGGAGTGTGGAGGGGTAGGAGTGTGGAGGGGTAGGAGTGTGGAGGGGTAGGAGTGTGGAGGGGTAGGAGTGTGGAGGGGTAGGAGTGTGGAGGGGTAGGAGTGTGGAGGGGTAGGAGTGTGGAGGGGTAGGAGTGTGGAGGGGTAGGAGTGTGGAGGGGTAGGAGTGTGGAGGGGTAGGAGTGTGGAGGGGTAGGAGTGTGGAGGGGTAGGAGTGTGGAGGGGTAGGAGTGTGGAGGGGTAGGAGTGTGGAGGGGTAGGAGTGTGGAGGGGTAGGAGTGTGGAGGGGTAGGAGTGTGGAGGGGTAGGAGTGTGGAGGGGTAGGAGTGTGGAGGGGTAGGAGTGTGGAGGGGTAGGAGTGTGGAGGGGTAGGAGTGTGGAGGGGTAGGAGTGTGGAGGGGTAGGAGTGTGGAGGGGTAGGAGTGTGGAGGGGTAGGAGTGTGGAGGGGTAGGAGTGTGGAGGGGTAGGAGTGTGGAGGGGTAGGAGTGTGGAGGGGTAGGAGTGTGGAGGGGTAGGAGTGTGGAGGGGTAGGAGTGTGGAGGGGTAGGAGTGTGGAGGGGTAGGAGTGTGGAGGGGTAGGAGTGTGGAGGGGTAGGAGTGTGGAGGGGTAGGAGTGTGGAGGGGTAGGAGTGTGGAGGGGTAGGAGTGTGGAGGGGTAGGAGTGTGGAGGGGTAGGAGTGTGGAGGGGTAGGAGTGTGGAGGGGTAGGAGTGTGGAGGGGTAGGAGTGTGGAGGGGTAGGAGTGTGGAGGGGTAGGAGTGTGGAGGGGTAGGAGTGTGGAGGGGTAGGAGTGTGGAGGGGTAGGAGTGTGGAGGGGTAGGAGTGTGGAGGGGTAGGAGTGTGGAGGGGTAGGAGTGTGGAGGGGTAGGAGTGTGGAGGGGTAGGAGTGTGGAGGGGTAGGAGTGTGGAGGGGTAGGAGTGTGGAGGGGTAGGAGTGTGGAGGGGTAGGAGTGTAGAGGGGGTAGGAGTGTGGAGGGGTAGGAGTGTGGAGGGGTAGGGGTAGGAGTGTAGAGGGGTAGGAGTGTAGAGGGGTAGGAGTGTAGAGGGGTAGGAGTGTAGAGGGGTAGGAGTGTAGAGGGGTAGGAGTGTAGAGGGGTAGGAGTGTAGAGGGGTAGGAGTGTAGAGGGGTAGGAGTGTAGAGGGGTAGGAGTGTAGAGGGGTAGGAGTGTAGAGGGGTAGGAGTGTAGAGGGGTAGGAGTGTAGAGGGGTAGGAGTGTAGAGGGGTAGGAGTGTAGAGGGGTAGGAGTGTAGAGGGGTAGGAGTGTAGAGGGGTAGGAGTGTAGAGGGGTAGGAGTGTAGAGGGGTAGGAGTGTAGAGGGGTAGGAGTGTAGAGGGGTAGGAGTGTAGAGGGGTAGGAGTGTAGAGGGGTAGGAGTGTAGAGGGGTAGGAGTGTAGAGGGGTAGGAGTGTAGAGGGGTAGGAGTGTAGAGGGGTAGGAGTGTGGAGGGGTAGGAGTGTGGAGGGGGGTGGAGGGGTAGGAGTGTGGAGGGGTAGGAGTGTGGAGGGGTAGGAGTGTGGAGGGGTAGGAGTGTGGAGGGGTAGGAGTGTGGAGGGGTAGGAGTGTGGAGGGGTAGGAGTGTGGAGGGGTAGGAGTGTGGAGGGGTAGGAGTGTGGAGGGGTAGGAGTGTGGAGGGGTAGGAGTGTGGAGGGGTAGGAGTGTGGAGGGGTAGGAGTGTGGAGGGGTAGGAGTGTGGAGGGGTAGGAGTGTGGAGGGGTAGGAGTGTGGAGGGGTAGGAGTGTGGAGGGGTAGGAGTGTGGAGGGGTAGGAGTGTGGAGGGGTAGGAGTGTGGAGGGGTAGGAGTGTGGAGGGGTAGGAGTGTGGAGGGGTAGGAGTGTGGAGGGGTAGGAGTGTGGAGGGGTAGGAGTGTGGAGGGGTAGGAGTGTGGAGGGGTAGGAGTGTGGAGGGGTAGGAGTGTGGAGGGGTAGGAGTGTGGAGGGGTAGGAGTGTGGAGGGGTAGGAGTGTGGAGGGGTAGGAGTGTGGAGGGGTAGGAGTGTGGAGGGGTAGGAGTGTGGAGGGGTAGGAGTGTGGAGGGGTAGGAGTGTGGAGGGGTAGGAGTGTGGAGGGGTAGGAGTGTGGAGGGGTAGGAGTGTGGAGGGGTAGGAGTGTGGAGGGGTAGGAGTGTGGAGGGGTAGGAGTGTGGAGGGGTAGGAGTGTGGAGGGGTAGGAGTGTGGAGGGGTAGGAGTGTGGAGGGGTAGGAGTGTGGAGGGGTAGGAGTGTGGAGGGGTAGGAGTGTGGAGGGGTAGGAGTGTGGAGGGGTAGGAGTGTGGAGGGGTAGGAGTGTGGAGGGGTAGGAGTGTGGAGGGGTAGGAGTGTGGAGGGGTAGGAGTGTGGAGGGGTAGGAGTGTGGAGGGGTAGGAAGGAAATGGAGCATGGGCGTGGTGGCGAGCTGGGGGTTGGGGGAGGCGGAAAGGGATCTAAGATGTGGGGATGGAAGGAGGGAGGAGGTATGCTTGGGAGAGATTGTTGAGACGAGGGGAGGCGATGGTTGGGTAGGGGAGGGGAGTGAGTGATGTGAGGGAGGTGTGAGAGATGCGATGGTGCGAAAGAGGCTAGTATCGAGGCGTAAGGATCACGTCGAGCTTACTCGGGATTAGGAAATACTGATATTCGTGAGCCTTCAATAAGCTTCCTGCACACATAACACACATATTCATGGAAGTACAAAGAAGCATTCAAACATACCCACACGGGAGAATGTTAACCATCACATGGGCATGCTTAAACGGGCCAGCAAGCAGAAATACACACACCACACCAGAGGCAAACAGAGACCCAAACCTGTGCAACGGAGAGGGCTTTAAAGCAACTCAAACGCTGCACGTGCTAAAAGGCAAGGCACTACGAAACTCCAGCAGGGATCATGGCTGCAAGCACGGAGGTAAGTGCGCACCCGGGCTGTGCGGAGCTGGGGATGAGCAGCGGCGTGTAGAAGGAGGGTTGGCTGACTGCCGCGGCTAGCTGCGTGTGGGTGCTGGCCTTGCGCGCCTGGTGTGGGATGGGATGGGATGAACGGGATGCGGTGAAGGGTGGGGTAAAATAGTTTGCTTGATAAACGTAAAGCAGGCATGAGCATACTTGAAGCTTCAAGAGTGCAGAGTGTCCTTGAGTCTGCCAGTGCTCACGCACCTTTCTGAGCCCTGTCTTGGAGAGTGGAATCTCTACAAGCCCATCCTGCGCCTTCACCCAGTTATGATGAGATGTCTCAAGTTTTCAGTTGTGAGGCACCTCATGTTTTGAGCTGTGAGACGAGTCAAAACGCAGCCATGCTCACAGACCTCTCTGAGCACGGCCTTGGAGAGTGGAACCTCCACCAGCCCATCCTGCGTGATTGGAGTTGACTCGAATGAGTCGTGCTTTTGAGTTGACTTAAAACACGTCTGCAGTGCTGACGTACCTTTCTGAGCACGGCCTTGGTGAGTGGAACCTCCACAAGCCCATCCTGCGCCTTCACCACTCCTCTCTCCAGCAGCAGCTGCTTCAGAATCACAAACGCCCTGATGCACGCACAGGCACACACAGACACTCACGCATATGCATTTACAGACGATAAATCAGCTCTTGACATCAGAGCGTTCGGGATTCTGCAGCAGCTGCTGCACATGTGCAACTCCACCAGTCACTCCCTATTGTCACACCTACATCCCTTAGACATATATGCTGGATGTCTCAAAAAACAGACACAGCCGTTACACAGTCCTGCGCGCATGCCACCCAAAGGCATATACGCTGATTTTGAAACACTGATTTCTTAGGAGATGTTAGCCCGCTGTACCTGTCCGCGTATGCGCCATACTTTTGAGGCGCCTCAAGACACGTTAGCCCACTGTACCTGTCGGCGTATGCGCCGTATTTGAAGTTAAGCGATTGGCCGTATGAGATGGGGGTGCTGGAGATGACCCCCTTGTTGAACCCACTCTCCCTGCCACTCACCCACCGCACCCCAGCACACCCACGGAGGACGTCACAGTCAAGAAGGACGTCACAGTCAAGAAGGATTGCACATTGGGAAAAAGCACTGGCTGAAGCCGAAGCAATCTGTTAGCGCACAATTAGAGAGGTTAATGTTTTCAAATGTTAGGTTGTTACTCTCTAAATTGGGTCACCAGCACGAGCATATGTTGGTTAGTTAATCAGCACATCACTCACGTGTATCGATCGGACCACATCACTTTATCCGTTGGTTCCGCTACCTGCCGCCACGTGGCAGCCATGGAGTACACGTCACGCCACGTCAGCGCCACGTCAGCGCCGCTGCTGGCACTGGCTGGGCGAGACGAGGAGGCGAGAAGGCGGGCCCACTCGTGCCTGAGTGCGTGCATGATCGCCAGCATGGCTAGCCCCGCCGCCCTTTGCTGTGTGCATTGCATTTGGTGCAATGGGGATACAATGAGATGATTGGTGTGATTGGAGAGGGGAGTGGGAGAGTGTCTGAATGGGACCCACTCGTGCCTGAGGGCCTGCATGATGGCCAGCATGGCTAGCCCTGCTGCCCTTTGCTGTGTGCAACACAAAGAATAAGATGGTTGAAATGATTGATATGATTGGCGAGGGGAGGAGAGAGTGTCTGAATGGGACCCAAGCCACGGGACATGGGGTTCAGCTACGGGCGCTTTGAATCATTCAAGCGAGTGCACATGCACGTGCACATGCACATGCACATGCACATGCACATGCACATGCACGTGCACATGCACATGCACATGCACATGCACATGCACATGCACATGCACATCCACATGCACATGCACATGCACATGCACATGCACATGCACATGCACATGCACATGCACATGCACATGCCATGAGGACTGCTGAGTGGGTGCAAAAGCCCACCAAGAAGAGACCGGGTCCTCCTGGACCTCACTCCGTCTCATCCCTCACCTGCCGTCTGCTAGGCAGCCAGCCTAAAGCCCCCCACCCCTCACCTGCCGCCCGTTATTGAGGAAGCCAGCACAGTGGTACTGAATCAGGCTGCCCAGCCGGTCCGCCCAATCAACAGCCTCCACGTGGGCAGCACCCAGCCTTGCCCCCTCGCCCTCCCCACTGCATGTGCTGCCGTTGCCCCGTCCTCCAGATGGCGGCAGAGCCATGGGCTCGTAGCCTGCCCGCAGCAGGGCATCTGGTGGATAGCGGTACGTCCAGCTCTCCTGGTGAGGGGATGGCGGAATCAGGAGTGGGGAGGGCAGTGAGGAGAGGACTTGGGAGACCGAGGCAATGACAGAAGGGCCTTGCGCTTGTAGCCTGCCTGGAGCAGCGCATCTCGTGGATAGCGGTATGCCCAGCTCTCCTGGTGGAGGGATGGTTGAGGAGAGAGGGAACGGGAGTGGAGTGGGGAGGGGAACGGGGAGAGGAGTGGGGAGAGGAGTGGGAAGGGGAGTGGGAGGAGTGGGGAGAGGGGTGGGGAGGAGTGGAGAGAGGAATGGGGAGAGGAGTGGGGAGATGGCGTGAATTTGTCGCCTTTCTTCAGTTTTTGGCCAGTGTTGAGGCCTCAAAGAAATCGAGGGGAGGCAGTGGTGCCTAAAGAAAGCGAGTGAGTTGAATGAAATAGAGTCAAACTGAAGCTATTCTTCTTAGAGTCACCTTGAAGAGAGGAAGGAAGTGGTCGTCGATGCTGAATCGGCCCAAAGGCTGCTCCATGCATGCTGCCATGTACACTGCCACCTCCCTCTGTGATTCATGCAGTGTGAAGCATGCAGGTGCATGCAGGGAGGCATGGCATATGGGGTGCAGGGAGTTAGACATGGCGTAGGGGGTGCAGGGAGTTGGGGCATGTACAAACACATGCAGCATGGCATGAGTCAGCGACCATGCTCTCCTTGCAGCAAGAAACTCACAGCACAAAAACTATGTCTCATTTGCTGGCTCCTCATACAGTCACACCTGGTAGAATGCCATGTCATGGCTCTGGCGCTCGCTGTAGTCACGTGGCTGCATCTTAAGAACGTGATTGTACGCGTCCACCTGCCACCACCACCACAACCAGGCAGGTGCGCTTGTCAAACTTGCTGAGGTGAGGGGATACACTAGGTTACCTTTGTGAACTGTGACTAAAGCCTAAAGGGAAGATCAACCGAGTAATACTGCTAAACCATGACCAAGCCTTGAGGCGACTGAAAGGTGGCATGTCAGCCCTGCAACAAACTATTGCTATGTCCGACGCCTGAGTCAAGGCTAGACTGGAAGAGCCTCAAGAGCAAGGTGACTTTTGAGTCGACTCAAAAGTCGTCTGAAAGGTGGCATGGCAGCCCAAGGCATGGCGTCTAAACCAACAAAGTAATGCTATGTCAGACGCCAGAGCCAAGGCTAGACTGGAAGAGTCGCAAAAGCATGTGTTTTTTGAGAATTCTAGAAAAAAAACCCGCCAGAGTCAAGGCTAGACTGGAAGAGCCTCAAAAGCACCAGCCAGAGCTGGTGCGGTTGACTTGCATTCAACGTGCTGATCCGATCAACTACTCGACTCACAGTTGAGAATTCTCAAAAATGATTTCAATATGGCTTGAATTCAACTTGCTAATCCGATCAACTGCTCGACTCACAGTTGAGAATTCTCAAAAGGGATTTCAATATGACTTGGATTCAACGTGCTGATCCGATCAGCTGCTCGACTCACAGCTTTGGGAAAGTCAGCCAAGGAGTGGTGCGATGATGCCAACCAATAGTGCAGCTCCACATTAGTGGGGTGGTAGAGGAGGTACTTTGAGATCAGGTTGATTACCTCCCTGGCTTGCAGCACACAAGGAGAGACACCGAGAGAGAGACACAAAGAGAAAACCCTGTATACTGCTGACTACATCAATGAAAGGACCGTTTTAGACACAAAGAGCGACACAAGAAATGATTGACACAATCCGCGGCACAACCAGCAACGCAACCAGCAGTGCGAGAGTGGCATGGGTAGCACAACCAGCAACATGTTAGAAATAACCGCATGATACCTCGACGGCTCACAAGCACATGCCTCTTCTACCCATCTGAACCGCTCTGCACCCACCTGTGCCTGCCGGTTGATTGCAGCAGCTTCACCCACGAGTGCAGCGTGGGCATATCACTGCCGTGCCGCACCGTGCGTTCACGGTTCACAAGCACGTGCCTCTTCTACAGCTACCCATCTGAACCGCTCTGCACCCACCTGTGTCTGCCGGTGGATTGCAGCAGCTTCACCCACGAGTGCAACGTGGGCATATCACTAAAGTACCATGCGTTGACGGGGGGGAAGGAGGGAGGGAAGGCGCATCGATGCACAGCACACAAGGCGTTCATTCATGAAAGGGCGGGTGGAGAAGAAGTGACTACTCGGAGGGAAGTTAATGGGTGGAGCAAAGAGGCTTTGCAAGGAGGTATGCAGCATATAGAATCCCCTCATTTGTGCTTCGGCCTGCCATTCAGCGAGCACATTCTCATATAGAACCTCTCTGCCTTGTCCTCCTCCCTCCCCCATATCCCTCCGCACGTCTGCAGCACACTCCACGCCTCCAAGGCTCCACCCATTGCACCTCCTCTTCCCCTGGGATTCTCGCAATCTCATAGCACTTCTACGCTTCTCCCCTCTCCCCCACGCCCGTCCGCCTGTTCCCCATCACACGCCTGAATGCCTCCATCCATCTCACCTGGGAAACGCCTTTAACGCATGCCCATAGCACCTCTCCGCCTCCCCCACCTCCCCCATGTCCCTCCGCACGTCCCCCAGCACGCGCCACGCCTCCCCCCGCTGCGGCTCTGCACGCACCACCGCCTGCAGCGCTGCTGCTGCTTCAGACCGCCGCCCCATGTAGTATAAGGCGTTGCCCTGGAGGAGAAGGGAGGGGGATGATAACAGTAGAGAGAAGTGAGTTCGCACCACGCCTCCCGAGTGATTTTTGGGAATTCTCAAAAATCACTTGCAGTGAGTACGCGCCACGCCTCCCTCCGCTGTGGCTCTGCTTGCACCACCACCTGCAGCGTTACTGCTGCCTCTGAATGCCGCCCCATGTGGTACAAGGCGTTGCCCTGAGGTAAGGTGTGGGGGAGAGGGGATGGGAGGGAGGGGAATTGAAGCAGCAGGGAGAGAGGCGAGCACACACCAGGCCTCCCCTGCTATGGCACCTCTTGCACCACGGCCTGCAGTGCTGCTGCTTCCCATTTACAGCCCATGCGGGATAGTGCATTGCCGTGGGGAAGTGGAGTAGGGGGTGGGGAATGACAGCAGTGGGATGACAAGGGTCGAGAGCAAGAAGAAAGGAGGACCACCATCCCTTGCAGTGCTGCTGCTGCCCCCCACCGCCACCGCCCCATATGGGATAGCGCATTGCACTGGGAAAGTGGGCTTGTGCTGGGGAAGTTGAAGTGCCTCAAAAGCTCCCTCTGACCGCCGTCCCACGTGGGTACTAGTGCGTTGACCTGGGCAACGGGAATGGGATAACATGCCCGCTGAGCAGCAATCCACACACAGCAGCTGGATACACTGCTCCATGCCATGCCATGCCATGGAAATGTACTGTACCAGGAAGAGGCGGAGGGTGTGCTCGTGTGGAAAGTGGTGCAGTGCGGTGGTGAGGTCCGGAATGGCGTCCTTGAAAGCCCTGCGGTTCACACGAGCCATGCCTGCCACGTGGGGGAGGGATGGGTGGGTGGTGCATGGCATGGCATGGGGGTGCATGGCATGGCATGGCATGGGTGGTGCATGGCATGGCATGGCATGGCATGGGTGGTGTATGAAATGGGATGGGTGGTGCATGGGATGGCATGGGTGGTGCAAAGGATGGCATGGGTGGTGCATGGGATGGCATGGGCGGTGCATGGGATGGCATGGGCGGTGCATGGGATGGCATGGGCGGTGCATGGGATGGCATGGGCGATGCATGGGGATGGGATGGGTGGTGCATGTGATGACATGGGCGGTGCATGGGATGGGTGGATGGTGCATGGGATAGCATGAGTTGGGGATGAGAGGGCATGACATGGTTGGTGGATGGGATATGCGATGCATAAAATACGGCACTAGTGGAACATAGCACCTCACCAAATACCGTCTGGACTTCTGTAAGCCAACACGGCATATGGTTGTGCTCTGTGTCTCACTCACCTCTCTCACTCACCTCTCTCACGAATGGCAGCTACATTGCTCGAGTCGGCATCGATCATGGTAGTCCAATCCGCTATGGCCTGCCATAACAGCACCATGGCATGGGTCGCACACACACATTGCACTCAGCATCATGGCATGAGTCGCACACACGCATTGCATTTAGCATCATGGCATGGGTCGCACACACGCATTGCACTCAGCATCATGGCATGGGTCACACGCAACGGTACTCACTGCCCTCACAACCACTCTCCACTCCCTTGAATGTACATCACATCACAGCCCCACCCAACCTCACCTCTGTGAATCGCTGCAGCTTGAGGTGCGAGACGGCTCGGTGCTGCAGCAGGCTCTGGTAGATGGGCAGATCTGACGGGATGATCTTCAGGGCCTGCCAGTGACACACACGCACACGCAACCCAGGGGCAGGCAGCAGAGCAAAGGAACGGCTTAAAAACAGCTTGAGGTGGGAGACGGCTCGGTGCTGCAGCAGGTGCTGGTAAATGGGCAGGTCGGACGGAATGATCTTCAGGGCCTGAAAAATGGCACGCCCAACCCAAGAGCAGAGGAAGAAAGGCACGCGGAGTGAAGTATGGATGGGCGAGGCTTGGCACGGTAAGAGGAGAGGAGCGGAGCGGTACAAGTGTTGCCTTTCTACAGTGACGCACCTTGGTGAGGTCAGTGACGCACCTTGGTGTGGTCAGTGACGCACCTTGGTGTGGTCAGTGACGCACCTTGGTGTGGTCAGTGACGCACCTTGGTGTGGTCAGTGATGTCAATATCCTAAGCAGTCACCTCGCTGCAGTCACATACCTCGGTGAGGTCGGTGATGGCCTGCGTGTGGCGGCCTGTGAGGGAGTTGGCCGCCCCCCTCCATGCCAGCAGCCCTGCAGACTCCTCCTCGCCCTGCTCCTCCAGCTGGTGGCATTGGAGGGGAGGACAGCAAGTCGGGGAGCAGGTGAGGGGAGGAAGTGGAGGGGAGGAAGTGAGGGGAGCAGGTGAGGGGAGGATATGAGGGGGCAGCAATGGCCCCTACATGCCAGCAGCCCTGCTGACTCCTCCTCGCCCTGCTCCTCCAGCTGGTGGCATTGGAGGGGAGGACAGCAAGTCGGGGAGCAGGTGAGGGGAGGATATGAGGGGGCAGAAGTGGCCCCTACATGCCAGCAGACCTGCCGACTCCTCCTCTCCCTGCTCCTCCAGCTGGTGGGATTCAATGTACGGAGGAGGGGAGCGGCAGGGGGAAGGTGAGCAGGGCTACTTCAGAATATTGATAGATTCCTGCTGATGAAACTGTTAACTGTCAGCCACGCTTAAGTAAAAGACAAATGTCAGGGTTTAGGGTTAGAGATGCTGTTGAAGACTGCTGTAATGAGGATAACAAGCACATGACTTGTGTGAAGACGGATCGAGAGACAAGACAGTGCGCAGGGAATGGAGGGAAGGGAAGGGAAGGGAAGGGAAGAGGAAGGGAAGGAAAAGGAAGGGAAGGAAAAGGAAGGGAAGGGAACGGAAGGGAAAGGGAAGGGAGGGGGAGGGAAGGGAACGGGAAGGGAAGGGAAAGGGAACGGCAGGAATGGGAAATGGGAATGGAAAGGGAAGGAGAGGGAGGCGAAGTGGCAGGGAGGAAAAGAGAGGGGAGGGAAGTTGACCTGTGCAAATGCTTCAACTGCAGCCTCGTAGTTACCTGCTTGAGCCTGACAGGACGCGCGAGGTAACGGAAATGAAGGACAAGGGAAACGCAGTGAAGCAAGGGAATCATCAAGCAGTGTGGAATAAGAGTGCAGGGAAGTGGAAATGTGGCAATGTTTTTGACAGGGTGTGTGACAGAATGCAGTTGGAAAGCAACGATGAGGTTTGAGGAATTAGACATGAGATGAGATGAGGTGATTTGTGTGCACAAGGACGTGTCGCATAAACTGCTTAAACTTCTCAATGCCTGCAAGCAACCCCCTTTGAGAACTCCTTCAAGTGACCCAGCTGTGTTGCTCCCCCCCCCACTGCCACTCACCAGCCCCACTGCTGCTTCGAGAGTCACGTCGCTACCCCACCGCTGCTTTGGACGGGCACCAGCTCTCCCCTTGACTGGATTCCGCCTGGACTCTGCAGCTGCCACCATCTCTTGTTCTCCCTTCTCCTTTACCATCTTCTCTCTCTTGTGTTCCTTCTCCTTCTTCTCCCTCTCCTTCTCCTTCACCTTCTCCTTCTCCTTTTCCTTCTCCCTCTCCACGTCCTTCTCATTGTCCTTGATAGTAGATGTGCCCGCAGTGATTACCTTTACGTCCCCTTTGCCCTTTGCCTTGTTCTCATGCTCCTCCACACCACCCGCCTCTTCCTCTCGTTCCTCCCCTTTCTCCCTCCTCAATCTCCTCTCCTCTCTCCGCCCCCTCCCTCTCCTCCCCCTCTTCTCCCTCCCTTCCTCCACTGCTGTCGCACCACCTCGGTCTGCTGTCGCACCACCTCGGTCTGCTGCCTTATCGTCCTCATCTGCCACCCCTCCCCTCTCCCTATCACCGCCTGCCAACCCTCTCCCTTTGCCTCCTACCCCACCTCCCTCACTCTCAACCTCCTCCTCTAGCTCCTGCGTCCTCTCTTTCCCCTCCTTTCCGACTTCACTCACTCGCTCCTCCCCTTTCCCTTCCCTCTCTCTTTCCTCCCTTGCTCTCTCCTCCTCTAGCTCCTGCGTCCTCTCTTTCCCATCCTTTCTGACTTCGCTTCCTCCTTTCTCACTTACTTGCTCCTCCCCTTTCCCTTCGATTGCTCCTTCCTCCCTTGCTCTCTCCTCCTCTCGCAACCGCTCTTCCCTCTCCCTTCTCTCCTTCTCCCTCTGTGCCCTCCGCCCCCCTCTCCGTCCTCTCCTCCCACCCTCACTCTCTCCCCCCTCCTTAGATTCTCTCTCCTCCCCACCCTCAACCTCAACCTTATCCCCCCCAGCCACACCCGATCTCATCTCAAGTTTCCCCACCGTCTTCATACCCACACTGCTGGAACTCTCACTAGACTCGCCTCCTGTCGTCGATTCCTTTCCTTCTAAGGGCCCTCCAGGCCGCCCGTCTCCGCCTGTGCTTCCTTGCATTTCCTCCTCTCCACCTTCCACTCCCCCCACCTTTCCCCTCTCCGCTCCCCTTTCCTTTCCCCCCTCCTCCACCGCCGCACTGAGCACATCCACAACATCTCCCATGGAGGGGAACGCGTCCTCCACACTCAGAAGCTCCTTGAGGCGAGGCGAGTGGGTGAGAGAGGGGTAGAGCCAGGAGGAGACGGAGCGGAGGAAGAGAGCGGCTGAGGGGCACAGGATGGACTCCCAGTCCACCTGCACAGTGGGGATGGAGAGTTAATGAGGCACTTATGCAGGGAACGGAAGGGAAGGACAAGCGGGGAGAGTCGCGACGAATCTTCAAACATGCATCTCAAACCCCAAAGTCATCTCTCTCTTACACGCATGCCTGCACTCCTCCTGCGGCTTCGGCACCCAAATGGGCCACTACCAGCCATCCAAATTCAGTGCACCTGGACGGCAGGGGGAATGGGTTTGGAGGCGTGGAGGTCGATGGCGAGGAGCAGGCCGAGCGTGACGACGTGGCCTGTCATGGCCGTGCCGCGCGCCAATGGCATGAAATTGTACCTGGGGGGGATGGGGGGGGGGGGGGGGTATGGGGACAGGGAGGAAGAGACGTATTAGGGGTTTTGGGGCCAGATTTGAGGAGCAGGCTGAGCGTGACGACATGGCCTGTCATGGCCGTGCAGCGCGCCAAGGGCATGAAGTTGTACCTGAGGGGGGGGGTATGGGAGGAACAGACGTATTGGGGGGTTAGGGTTGGGGGAGATAGGTATGGGGCCAGAGGGAGAGAGAGTCGAGGAGCAGACCGAGCGTGACCACGTGGCCTGTCATGGCTGTGCCGCGCGCCAAGGGCATGAAGTTGTACCTGAAGGAGGGGGGGAGTGGGGAGAGAGGCATGGGGACAAGGAAAGAGTCATCATACCCGTTCATGGCTGTGCCTCGTGCCAAAGGCATGGAGTTGTACCTGGGGTGGGGGGTATGCGGGCAGGGGAGGGGAGACATAGGAAGGACAGGGGGAGGAGAGATGTTGGAGAGACACCGGGGAGGGATATGGGGACAGGGGAAGTGTCATGCCACGGCCGTGCCATGTGACAAGGGATGAAGTTGCACCTGAGGGCGGTGAGGGATGGGCAAGAGAGGTACGGAGAGGCGGGGGCAGAGAGAGATGTGAGACGTCTCAAGGGTTGACGGGCACCAGGAAGCAGCAGATGATGATATGGCTGACCATGGTTGTGTGCCCCGGTCAAGGGCATGAAGTTGTACCTGG